ACTCCGCTAGAACTTCGCTATTGATTTTCCCTTCTTCTCCTGAGGTAAACTTGGGTAGAGCTTTCTTGATCTGCCCTCCTCTTTGGCTTCTCTTGCTCTTTCTTCTTGGTCTCCTCCATTTGTTTTCCTTCCCCCGGCCTCTATTTATAGTGGTAGGAGTAGTTATCTATATAAAGGTATTTTACCTGAATACCCTTATATGGACTTTAGGTAATTGGCTACCCATAAATTTGTGGGTTTTAATTAATTTATGGAATTTAAGTCCAACCTTTTTTACCTTTTAAATGTTTGTTTAATTTGGATATATGAAATTTAAGTCCATTCTAATTTAATTTAACAAGCCTGATTAATTGCATTTGGACTTGTATTATTTTGGCTATGGAATTTAGGTCCAGTTTAATTTAATTTGACAAGTCTTGTTAATTAAATTTAGGCTTGTATAATTTAGGTTATGAAATTTAGGTCAAACCCAATGTAATTTATCTAATTGATTTGAGCCCAATTATAAATATTAATTTTTTAATATCTACAAATGCCCCCTCGAGACTTATTTGCATATTTAATAGTTTATAAATATGTAAATGGGTCTCAAATTTATTTTTTAATTTAAAAGAAGTTTAATTAAATTTAAATTTATTATTTCATGATCAACATGGAACTATAGTCTATGTGAAACTCGAAATAAGATACAAAATTCAACTTAATTATTATTTTTTTAGTTCTTTAGTAATATGGAGTTCTAATCGATCTTGGAGTCAATAATAATTCTTTTGTTCTACATAAACACATAAACCTAAAATTTAGAATTTCAATTCATGTATACTTAGAGCAATTAAGTCATTTCTTAACTCAATAAATAGACCTAAAGTGTATTTATATTTGATATGGGTGGACACCGTCAATTTATTAGTGTTGTGCATGATGGCTTTCCAACTGGATTGTGTGCAACTCGTTGCCCATGTCACGCATTAGTTTCTGGTAAAAAAATTTCTTTCATGTTAGTTTTATTTTTTGTTTTTTTTAATTAGTAGGCCAACAAATTTTGAATCAATAATTACAAATAATTTTGAGGCTATGGTGAAAACTAATTTCACGCAACTTAGGTAGCGTTTGGTAACGTTTTCATTTTTATGTTTTTTTTATAAAAAAAATAAANATTACAAATAATTTTGAGGCTATGGTGAAAACTAATTTCACGCAACTTAGGTAGCGTTTGGTAACGTTTTCATTTTTATGTTTTTTTTATAAAAAAAATAAATTTAAGTTTTATTTTTTTTGTGATAAAAATTTAAACTATAAAACATGTTTGGTAATCATTTATATTTAAAAATTTAACACAAAAATAAAAAACCTTTTTGGTATTATACCAAAAATTCACCACCCAAACCCCACCATCCAACCCTATTGACTACCCAAAACCACCACCCAACCCCACTGACCAACCAACCCCACCACCAAAACCCACAACCCACTCGCACCACTGAAACCTACCACCACAACCACCGAAACCCNGAGGCTATGGTGAAAACTAATTTCACGCAACTTAGGTAGCGTTTGGTAACGTTTTCGTTTTTATGTTTTTTTTATAAAAAAAATAAAATTAAGTTTTATTTTTTTTTGTGATAAAAATTTAAAATATAAAACATGTTTGGTAATCATTTATATTTAAAAAATTAAGAACACAAAAATAAAAAACTTTTTTGGTATTATACCCAAAATTCACCACTCAAACCCCACCATCCAACCCCATTGACTATCCAAAACCACCACCCAACCCCACTGACCAACCAACCCCACCATCGAAACCCACAACCCACTCGCACCACTCACCCTCAACCCACCCCCACCACCACTGAAACCCATCATCACAACAACCTAAATCCAGCACCACAACCACCAAAATCCACCATTAAAAGCCATTGAAATCCACAATTAGGACTATATATGCATATATATAGACAAATATATATATATATATAGATCTGTGTATATAACAAACAAAAACTTAAAAAAAAAATTCCACATAGGGGTTAGAGAGAGAAAGAGATCGATGGAGATGGAAAGACTGGAGCTTCCTTCGCCTGAGCTTCGCAACAGAGATACAAATGAGAGACGCACANAAGAGATCGATGGAGATGGAAAGACTGGAGCTTCCTTCGCCTGAGCTTCGCAACAGAGATACAAATGAGAGACGCACAGGAAAGAGACGAATGAGAGAAGCAAAAAAGGGTAAAAAGTCCTTTTATACTTGGAACAATAAGAATTCTTTTTGTGCTGGTAATGGGGTTCGAAGACAAGACCTCATTAATTGAGCTTGAGGGATGCGTGTGTTTTCATTTTTTCCTTGTTTTTGAAAGCACCTAAATAGGTGTTTTCAAAAATAGGGGTTATTTACAAAACAAACTGGCAAAAAAAAAAAAAATACTCTCCAAATATGTTTTTTTTTGTAAAAATTAAACACAAAAAAAAAAAAACAAAAACAACTGGTTACCNTGCAAAAAAAAAAAAAAATACTCTCCAAATATGTTTTTTTTTGTAAAAATTAAACACAAAAAAAAAAAAACAAAAACAACTGGTTACCAAACGCAGCCTTAGTGTTTCATCAATGGTTAGTTTAATTTATTCTTCTTGGTTATCAATATTTTTTTTTTTTTTGGTTATCTTCTGGGTTGTCGTTCACAAGGCTGTTATATTTTATTTTATTTTGGTTTCTTCGTCTCCACTAGACAAGGACTAGCCCTTTTGTTGAACAAGGAACAAGGAAAAAGGAACAACGAATGACTGTTAAGCTTAACCCATCTCCTTTTCCTTACTATTTTTTACATGCATTATTCCTCTTATTACGTTATTTTTTTTATTGGTTAATATTTTTTTTGTTATCATTTAATTTGTTTGTTTTTATGATTATTATTATTATTTTTTTTTGCTTTTCCTTTTTTGTTTGAAGACTTTAATTGAAATGACTTTATCTCAAAACTTTAATTTCAACGATTTTTTTTTGGTAAACAATATGCTCAACTTTTGTTACCATAATTACACAAGATATATTTTTTTTGTTGGTCTCGTGATAATCATGTCTTCTTTTGTATTATTTTTTATTTAATTACGTTTTTATGTTTATTTTTTTGTTTTATTTATTTATTTATTTTTAGGTCATTTAATGGTTTGGTAGCCTGGCTTTGACTATAAGCACCCTCGAGGTATGTTTTTTTTTTCTTTTCTCTTCCTTTATTTGACTCTAATTTTTTTGTCGACACCTTGTTTTAGTCCTTTTTGTCTTACTTGGTTGCCATTGCATTTTTGTTTTAATTACACATAGGCTTACACCATTCTATTTATTGGTTTCTTCATTAGTCAATTTTATTTTTTTTGTTACAACCTTTTTCATGCATGGCATCTAGGCAGGTACTATCCCTCCCATCAATATAACTACAGTAAAGGTACTTTGCCTTTCCGTTTTCTTCTTTGTTTTGTTTCGTCATTTTTGTGGGTGTGTTCTTGACTCTTTTTTTTTTTATGTTGTTTTTTTTTTTTTAAAAAACAATGGAATTTCAAATTTCTTTTTAATTGGCGGTCATATAGAACCTATGTCTCAGTTAGTTCTCATTAAAAGCAAACTCTTTTTGTACCACAACTTTTTTTGTTCTTCCTTTTTTAATAGTTTTGACAGCTTCATTTTTTTAAGTTGTGTGTTATAGGTTTATGGGTTGGCCAAGAAGGTGAATCCTTAGTCACTATTTTTTTTTTACTGTTGTGCCATTCAACCCTGTTTTTTTTTCTTTCTCTTTTCTAATTCTTCTTTTTTTTTTTTTTTTTATTATTATGTGCTTAGTTTTTTATTTTCGTTGATTGTCATCCATGATACCTTCTTTTTTATTTTCTATATTTATTTTTCTTTTATGGATTTGATGATTTTTTTTTGTTTGTTCACCTTTTCATTTTTTTTAATACATTTATGAATGTATGTAAAGATGTTTCCCCAGGTCACTTTATCTTAACAATTTTATTTTATTTTATTTTATTTACTTTTTGTGACTTTTTCTTTTTTATCTTTTACAACTTTTTCCAATAATTTACTTCCAGGTAACATTTTTTCCAAGAATTTGGTTGTAAGTAATTTCTCATTTAAACCTTTTTGGTGTTTATTTAATTATTTTTTAAATCTTGATAGTATTATCAAGATTGAGTTTTTTTTTCTTTTGTTTAATTTCTTGCATTTCTTTTAGATGGTTTTCTTTCTAAAAGTTAGATCAAATAATACTTTGAAGATTTCAAAACAAAGAATGATCAAGTGTACCTCAAGAAGTGTGTATTAAAGATTTCAAAGACCTTCATGCAAGGATGGATTGCAGATTTGAAAGATCAAGTGCACCTTGAGAATGGTGGATTGCATATTTCAAAGAAAATGGTTCATGTTGTAGTTTTGAAAGCAGTCTCAAGAATTGAAGGTCATATTCATGTAGTTAGTGAAAATCTCCTCATGATAGTGTGGAATGAAGAATTGAAGAACCAATGGTCCTTGAGCTTATTATCAGTCCTTATAGCAGCACAAAAGCAACCCATGATTAATCCTTGCAGTAGTCTAGAAGTAGTTTACACCACCACTATTTATATATATATATAGTTTGCAGTAAGTGGACTTTGTGACGTGGTGAATTGAAGAATCAAATGATACATCAGTTTTTGAGCCCATGATCAATCCTTATAGCAGGTTGAAAGTAGTCTGCACCACCAAATTCTTTTCTTGCCAGTAAGTGGACCACTTGACGTGACGGATTAAAGAATCAAATGACCTAGAAATTTTCGAGCCCATGATCAATCCTTGAGGTAGATAGTAAGTAATCTATACCTCTAGATTCCTTTCTTGTAGTAAATGGATCGTGTGACATGGCAGATTGAAGAATCAAAGGACCTAGCAGTTTGAAAGTAGTCTATATCAACAGATTTCTTTCTTACATTAAGTGGACCTCGTGACATGGTGGAATGAAGAATCAAAGGACCCAACCATTTTCAAGCCCATGATCAATCCTTGAAGCAAATTGAAAGTAGTCTATACCACCAGATTTCCTGCAGTGAGTAGACCTCATGACATGACGGATTAAAGAATCAAAGGACCCAGCAGTTTTCAAGCCATGATCAATCCTTGCGGCAGTTTGAAAGTAGCCTATATCACCAGATTTCTTTCTTGCAGTAAGTGGACCTCGTGACGTGACGGATTGAAGAATCAAAGGACCCAGCATTTTTCAAGCTCGTGATCAATCCTTAAGGTAGATTGAAAGTAGCCTATACCACCAGATTCTCTGCAATAAGTAAACCTTGTGACATGACGGATTAAAGAATCAAAGGACCCAGTAGATTTCAAGTCCTGATCAATCCTTGTGGCAGTTTGAAAGTAACCTATATCACCAGATTCCTTTCTTGTAGTAAGTGAACCTCGTGATGTGAAGGATTGAAGAACTAAATGACCTAGCAATTTTCGAACTCATGATCAATCCTTGAGGCAGATTAAAAGTACCAGAAAACTTCATATCTCTATAGCCAGTTGATATCTCTTCTTTGATGGGATGAATTGTAGAATTGAAGAAGCGATGGTTCTTAAGCTTGTGATCAGTCCTTGCAACAACTTGAAAGTAATTTATAACATCTAGCAATAGTAGACGACAAGACCAATAGTCCAAAAGACCATCTTCCATGTGTTGAGGTGAGGTGAGGTGAGGTGAGGTTGAGTTGCTATTTTTGCACGAATTGGTGACTTCTGTGCCAACTTTGGGTGACTTTTGTGTCAACTTTGGGTAGTTTCTATGTNCAAGACCAATAGTCCAAAAGACCATCTTCCATGTGTTGAGGTGAGGTGAGGTGAGGTTGAGTTGCTATTTTTGCACGAATTGGTGACTTCTATGCCAACTTTGGGTGACTTCTGTGTCAACTTTGAGTGACATATATGTCAAGAGTTGGTGACTTCCGTGTCAAGAGTTGTTGACTTTTGTGTCAACTTTGGGTGACTTCTGTATCAAGAGTTGGTGACTTTTGTGTCAAGGGTTGTTGATTTTTGTGTCAACTTTGGATGACTTTTGTGTCAAGAGTTGTTGACTTTGATGTCAACTTTAAGTGACTTTTGTAGCAGTCTTAAGTGACTTTTATGTCAGCCTTAAAGTAACTTATGTGGCAGCCTTATGTGACTTCTGTGACAGCCTTAAGTGACTTCTCTGTCAGCCTCAAGTGACTTTTGTGTTAGCCTCAAGTGACTTCTGCGTCAGCCTTAAAGTGACTTTTGTGGTAACCTCAAGTAACTTATGTGTCAGCTTAAAAGTGACTTTATTATCAGTCTCAAGTGATTTTTGTAGCAGGCTTAAGTAACTTTTGCGGCAACCTTAAGTGACTTCTGTGCTAGCCTCAAATGACTTTTGTGTCAACCTTAAAGTAACTTTTGTGTAACCTGAAGTGACTTCTACTAAAAGTGACTTTTGTGTCAACTTTTAGTAACGTCCATATCAACCTCAAGTGACTTCTGTGTCAGCCTTAAAGTGACTTTTATGTCAACTTTAAAGTGACNAAAAAACAATGGAATTTCAAATTTCTTTTTAATTGGCGGTCATATAGAACCTATGTCTCAGTTAGTTCTCATTAAAAGCAAACTCTTTTTGTACCACAACTTTTTTTGTTCTTCCTTTTTTAATAGTTTTGACAGCTTCATTTTTTTAAGTTGTGTGTTATAGGNCATATAGAACCTATGTCTCAGTTAGTTCTCATTAAAAGCAAACTCTTTTTGTACCACAACTTTTTTTGTTCTTCCTTTTTTAATAGTTTTGACACCTTCATTTTTTTAAGTTGTGTGTTATAGGTTTATGGGTTGGCCAAGAAGGTGAATCCTTAGTCACTATTTTTTTTTTACTGTTGCTGCCATTCAACCCTGTTTTTTTTCTTTCTCTTTTCTAATTCTTGTTGTTGTTTTTTTTTTATTATTATGTGCTTAGTTTTTTATTTTCGTTGATTGTCATCCATGATACCTTCTTTTTTATTTTCTATATTTATTTTTCTTTTATGGATTTGATGATTTTTTTTTGTTTGTTCACCTTTTCATTTTTTTTAATACATTTATGAATGTATGTAAAGATGTTTCCCCAGGTCACTTTATCTTAACAATTTTATTTTATTTTATTTTATTTACTTTTTGTGACTTTTTCTTTTTTATCTTTTACAACTTTTTCCAATAAATTTATCTTGGATTAGTTTTGTCTTGAAATTTTTAATTCAAGTGGTTTTCCCAATAATTTACTTCCAGGTAACATTTTTTCCAAGAATTTGGTTGTAAGTAATTTCTCATTTAAACCTTTTTGGTGTTTATTTAATTATTTTTTAAATCTTGATAGTATTATCAAGATTGAGTTTTTTTTTCTTTTGTTTAATTTCTTGCATTTCTTTTAGATGGTTTTCTTTCTAAAAGTTAGATCAAATAATACTTTGAAGATTTCAAAACAAAGAATGATCAAGTGTACCTCAAGAAGTGTGTATTAAAGATTTCAAAGACCTTCATGCAAGGATGGATTGCAGATTTGAAAGATCAAGTGCACCTTGAGAATGGTGGATTGCATATTTCAAAGAAAATGGTTCATGTTGTAGTTTTGAAAGCAGTCTCAAGAATTGAAGGTCATATTCATGTAGTTAGTGAAAATCTCCTCATGATAGTGTGGAATGAAGAATTGAAGAACCAATGGTCCTTGAGCTTATTATCAGTCCTTATAGCAGCACAAAAGCAACCCATGATTAATCCTTGCAGTAGTCTAGAAGTAGTTTACACCACCACTATTTATATATATATATAGTTTGCAGTAAGTGGACTTTGTGACGTGGTGAATTGAAGAATCAAATGATACATCAGTTTTTGAGCCCATGATCAATCCTTATAGCAGGTTGAAAGTAGTCTGCACCACCAAATTCTTTTCTTGCCAGTAAGTGGACCACTTGACGTGACGGATTAAAGAATCAAATGACCTAGAAATTTTCGAGCCCATGATCAATCCTTGAGGTAGATAGTAAGTAATCTATACCTCTAGATTCCTTTCTTGTAGTAAATGGATCGTGTGACATGGCAGATTGAAGAATCAAAGGACCTAGCAGTTTGAAAGTAGTCTATATCAACAGATTTCTTTCTTACATTAAGTGGACCTCGTGACATGGTGGAATGAAGAATCAAAGGACCCAACCATTTTCGAGCCCATGATCAATCCTTGAAGCAAATTGAAAGTAGTCTATACCACCAGATTTCCTGCAGTGAGTAGACCTCATGACATGACGGATTAAAGAATCAAAGGACCCAGCAGTTTTCAAGCCATGATCAATCCTTGCGGCAGTTTGAAAGTAGCCTATATCACCAGATTTCTTTCTTGCAGTAAGTGGACCTCGTGACGTGACGGATTGAAGAATCAAAGGACCCAGCATTTTTCAAGCTCGTGATCAATCCTTAAGGTAGATTGAAAGTAGCCTATACCACCAGATTCTCTGCAATAAGTAAACCTTGTGACATGACGGATTAAAGAATCAAAGGACCCAGTAGATTTCAAGTCCTGATCAATCCTTGTGGCAGTTTGAAAGTAACCTATATCACCAGATTCCTTTCTTGTAGTAAGTGAACCTCGTGATGTGAAGGATTGAAGAACTAAATGACCTAGCAATTTTCGAACTCATGATCAATCCTTGAGGCAGATTAAAAGTACCAGAAAACTTCATATCTCTATAGCCAGTTGATATCTCTTCTTTGATGGGATGAATTGTAGAATTGAAGAAGCGATGGTTCTTAAGCTTGTGATCAGTCCTTGCAACAACTTGAAAGTAATTTATAACATCTAGCAATAGTAGACGACAAGACCAATAGTCCAAAAGACCATCTTCCATGTGTTGAGGTGAGGTGAGGTGAGGTTGAGTTGCTATTTTTGCACGAATTGGTGACTTCTATGCCAACTTTGGGTGACTTCTGTGTCAACTTTGAGTGACATATATGTCAAGAGTTGGTGACTTCCGTGTCAAGAGTTGTTGACTTTTGTGTCAACTTTGGGTGACTTCTGTATCAAGAGTTGGTGACTTTTGTGTCAAGGGTTGTTGATTTTTGTGTCAACTTTGGATGACTTTTGTGTCAAGAGTTGTTGACTTTGATGTCAACTTTAAGTGACTTTTGTAGCAGTCTTAAGTGACTTTTATGTCAGCCTTAAAGTAACTTATGTGGCAGTCTTATGTGACTTCTGTGACAGCCTTAAGTGACTTCTCTGTCAGCCTCAAGTGACTTTTGTGTTAGCCTCAAGTGACTTCTGCGTCAGCCTTAAAGTGACTTTTGTGGTAACCTCAAGTAACTTATGTGTCAGCTTAAAAGTGACTTTATTATCAGTCTCAAGTGATTTTTGTAGCAGGCTTAAGTAACTTTTGCGGCAACCTTAAGTGACTTCTGTGCTAGCCTCAAATGACTTTTGTGTCAACCTTAAAGTAACTTTTGTGTAACCTGAAGTGACTTCTACTAAAAGTGACTTTTGTGTCAACTTTTAGTAACGTCCATATCAACCTCAAGTGACTTCTGTGTCAGCCTTAAAGTGACTTTTATGTCAACTTTAAAGTGACTTCTGTGTCAAGCTGAAGTGACTTCTACAGTAGCCTTAAGTGACTTCTATAGTAGCCTCAAGTGACTTATGTGGCAGCATTAGGTGGCTTCTATGGCAACCAGCCTTAAGGGACTTCTGTGGCAGCTTTAAGCAACTTTTGCAACAGTCTTAGGTGACTTTTGTGGCAGCCTTAAATGATTTCTGTGACAGCCTTAAGTGATTTTTGTGTCAGCCTCAAGTGACTTCTATGACAACGTCAAGTGACTTCTATGTCAACCTCAAGGTGACTTCTGTGGCAGTTTTAAAGTGATTTATGTGACAACCTTAGGTGAGTTCTCCCAATAGGTGGATTACAGAATCGGATAAACAAAAGTTTTGAGCCCTTAACCAATCTCTTGTGATCAATCCCTATTGCAACTTGAGAGCATTTTACAATCCCTCAATGCTGAAAATTAAATGATCAATATGATAGTCCGTTGTTGCTTCATTGACAGAATGATGTACTCCTTCACCTAATTGTCCTCAAATGCAAGACCTATGTCAACTAGTAAGTCATGGAATTTGATGTTTGATAAAACTTCACTGACAATTCAAAGTTCTTCTCCTTTTTTTC